AATGATAAAGTCAAAGGTAGCAAAAGAAGAGAGTTCATTTAGTGGTTACAGAAAGTGAATAAGGGATAAAAAATATTGAGTTCGTTGTACATAGCTCACTGTATAGACTTGAATCAACAGCTTGACCTTTGGAAGTCTGAGAGCTTCCATTTATCTGTTCTCTAAATACATTTACAATAAAAATGCCATTAGAAGTATGCTGTGAGGATTAATGTCAGTGGAGAACTGTGAGACTCATGGATAAGAGATGAAAAGGAACTCTTAATACCATAGCTATAAACTAATTAAATTTTAATGTTACTTAAAAATCATACAGCTATCTGGGATAGATTCAAGATGATACACTAATATCAATATTTTATTTATATTGTATTTTGAAGTTTTAAATATAATAAACTATAGAAAGTATTTGAAAAATACATGAAACAAGATCATGTGATATTTATCTTTTGCTTTGGAAGCAAAACTATGACTCTGGATCCTCAGAAAAATTCTAGCTTGCTTAGACAAAATAATTTGCTTTTAATCCTGAAACTCTTTAACATTAATTTTATGGTAACAGAGACAAGGATGTGACAGCTGCACAAAGTAGACCTTTAATGTGCCCTATCATTACCCCCAGATCTTTTCTCCTATGGCATTTGCACAGTGCTGGGCACTGCTTGCTATTCAAATATATTGTCATAATGATGATTTATTCTTATGTATGCCAATTAAAGTGAAAATGTGAAAAGAGTAGAAAAAAAGCAGTGTTCTAATAACACCTATTAAGAGTTGATATATAGATATATATATATCTATATATATTTAAATATATATAATATATAAATATGTATACAAACACAAATTATATACATAATACATATATAAATATATAGAGAAACAAAAATTACAGACAGCAATTTATTTTGTCAAAGGGTTCTTTAGTCTAAAAAATGCTTCTACCACAAAATAATTTTAAAGCCCACTTCTCCAGTATCTAAGTAGGGTTTAATTGACAAATATTCAGATATACATCTCTTCATATATGCATGTGTGTGTGTGTGTGTGTGTGAGTGTGTGTGTGTGTGTGACAGAGAGAGAGAGAATGAATGAAGGGGCACAAATAAAAGGTTTATAATATCTCTGAACCAACAAGATCTGTTCATGAGAATTACAGAAATTTTTGTGCCCAGTGCAATTAGCCAGAAGCAAAGAAGGCAACAGTTTACTTTTTCAGGTGAGACCTAGCATTACATTTACCCTAACTGCTTTGGCTATTGGGAAGAAGTCCAAATTATGGAAACAACTGCTTTCAGAACTGGAGACAGACGATGCTAGAAGCTGGTTGAATTGGAAAAGAGACTTGGGTGACTTTTTGTGGATGCACAGTATCTCTTAGAGACTTAGAAATAAATTAGTACAGCCCCTTCTCTCATTCTGCAAATGGAGCCGCCTGGAGCCTAGAGAGGAAGAGGAACTTTCAAAGTGGAAGAGCACAGAATATCTCAACTCCAGGTCAGCGCTCCTACACGACCCCACACCAGTGACTGAGCTTCGAAATAATGTGAGATGTGTCTTCCTCTTTCTCTTTCCCTTATCTATAGTATTTGTATTCCAACTACTGGGAATGGGGTGCATCAGTGAAGAAAGAGTCAGGGGAGACAGAAATATTTTACCTTCATGTGTGACTTTGCATCTACATTTTCTTCCCATCATAAATTCAACTGGCTTCACTTCCTTCTTGAGGGTAAGCCTAGGGCTCATTTGTTGAAATTCTTGAAGTGTGATAGTACTACAGATACTTGATAATATTTATTGAGCCCCTACTACATTATGTTCACTTAGATACATTATCTAGTTAATACTGCAAAGTCTATATTAATATGTTACACTGGAGCCTTAGAAACATTTAAGTAACCTGCTCAAAGAAGGACAAGGACTTGAAGGCTTCTCTCTCGGACTGCAAGGACCACATACCACACCACCTCCCACTTTTCAGAGAAGGGTGCTTAGTAGCCCTTGATAGATTGTGATGCCAGAAGGGGCTAGATTGGAGTTGAATGCCACGTTACTGCTTATGTAAGTCTTTTTTCCCAGTACGATCTGAAGAACTGGAGGACCATTACACAAATAAGAAATATTCAGATTAGCAATCAAGTTGACCAAAATTTAAAGAAAAATAATGTAAAAAAAAATGTCATCATCAAGTTATTGGCCAAAGCCAATCACCAATTTTGTCAACCTGAACGGATGGGAAATATTTTAGGGGTAGACTAACAAAATATTTGCTTAAACCAGTTTCTTTGTTTTTACAAGAGAGAAATCTTTTGATTTTCTAGTTGTTATTTGCCATGTTCCTGATGGCTTAGAAATCATATTGATCCTTAACCATTACTTGAAAATGATCTTCTAAGCATCAGAAGTACTTCTTTGGAAAAAGTGAAATTGTGATGTGCAAAAAATTTTTTTTCTTATGACAGTTTAAGGACATCGAGGTGCTTTAAAAAATGATTAATGTCATTGTAAGCTCTCTTTCTGGAAAATAAATTCTAGAGAACCAAGATACATTTCATAGGTTTAAGTATAGAATTATTACTCCACTTTCAACTTTGTTTTTACTGTCTAAATGATCTGCTTTTTCAGTGGACTCATGTTTTTGCACCTTATTGTCCTAAAGATGATGTAACAAGTATTACAAATGTTAGATAATGGCTAGGATTAACACAAAGTTTTAGTTAAGTTCTATGGAGTAGGAAAAAAAAATCTTGAACTACACTTTGCTGATACCTTCATAAAAGTATGAAATCATTTAGCTTCCCTAGGTTTTACAGAAAACACTTTAAAAATGCTATAAAGATGTATAACAAGACATAAAACTGCAAATATTAACTGTGTATTTCCTTGAAATATAAGTTAAACTTGGTGAGTAGGACAAGAAAATGTCACATTCCTTTCTCTTGCTAAGGAAATTGCATATTTCCTTTGCAAAAATAAAGAATATGCAGTCTTCATAAGCATATATGTGACAGTTTTAAAGTTGTTTTGTTTCAGGCTAAAGGTTTCTATGAATTTTCACGATTGTCTCAAAGTTGGAAAAAGAAAAGAAACAAAGAGAAAGCAAAACATTAACCTTAGGCATACAAGTTTTGTTTTTCACCCAATGTTAAAAACAGCATTTATGTTATATGCCTATTTTGTCCTTTCTAAATATTATCTTGAGTTACACAATTTTCAAATTCTTCATAGAATGAACACACTTTCAAATTTTTGCTTATGTTTCCCTCCGTAAGCTGCAATATTCTAAACAGAAAGTTAATCTTCTGTCTTTACCAGGATTTGTGAAGCAAATGGATATACATTTTACCAAGTGGAAAATAGGGCTGTGACATGGGCATTTAACTACTGATGAGAGCCCATATTTGATTTGGGGACCACAGGCTACCATAAGATTTGGTTGACAACACTAATTTCACTTGGGAATCGAGAAATTCTGGAAAAAGAGAGTCTCTTAAAACATAGGTCAAGGGACTTCCCTGGTGGCGCAGTGGTTAAGAATCCACCTGCCAATGCAGGGGACACGGGTTCGAGCCCTGGTCTAGGAAGATCCCACACTGCAGAACAAAAAAGCCTGTGTGCCACAACTACTGAGCCCGCGCGCCTAGAGCCCGTGCTCTGCCACAAGAGAAGTCACCGCAATGAGAAGCCCGCGCACCACAACAAAGAGTAGCCCCCGCTCACCGCAACTAGAGAAAGCCTGCGGGCAGCAACGAAGACCCAACGCAGCCAAAAATAAATAAAAATTATAAAAACCAAAAACGTAGGTCAATCAAATTTCCAGAATTTCACTAAAATGAGATGAAGGAGAAGTTTAATAGTAATATCAAACATGGTCATAAGGGCTTTATGTCTATTTCCTCATTAAGCCTCACATTAACCTTATTAGGTAGGAATTGCTACCGTCTCCCTTTTACAAATGAGGAAACTGAGGCCAGAGAATTCAAGGACTTTGCCAAAATTCACACAGTCTCTAAGTGGCAGACCCATGTTCTTAGCCACTCAGTAGGTTTTAAATTGTTACTGTTTATGTCTCATTGGAGAAGAAAATGTGGACAACATGGGAGAGGTCACAAGGACGTCTGTAAGGGTTGGGCTCCTTATGATTTCAGAACTCAATTCAGAGTGCATGGATTTAAAGTCCTCTGGGAAGACAAGCTGATGAGCCACAGGATTTCAAAGGGCCAGTCCAAAAGCTCCGAGGGAGACAGGAAAGTCCCTAGCTCAGCTCTTTGGCTCCTGGTAGATGGGCCCAGATAGCGGCTTTGGTAGCCACCACAATGGCTTTCCTGGTCTCTGCAGAAGTTCCAGATTGAAGAGAAACTCAGCAGTGTTGAGGAGCACAGAATATCAGATCCACCTGTGGGATACAGCTAGCTGCTTTGTCCAGATGCAAGTATGTTGCAGGAATAAATGTACACAGGCACATAGATATGTCTATGCAGAGCTGTGGGTTCATTTTCCTTACATTTTTTCCCTTCATTATTAACAGTACAATAAAGAGCTTAGCAAGTCTAACTCCTAATTTTGCTTAACAGTAAAAACGGCTTGCTTCTGAATTCACAAGATTCCAATAGGGTCCCTCTGTAGGAATAACTTTTGTTAATGAAAGAAATAATGTATATTAGCCTGCCATGACAAGAATAAACCAGAGTGCATTTTATCACAATTAATGTTAAACACAGCATGTTTTGTACTCCAAATATATTTACGAGAAACATATAGTTGTGTCTCATACATGCCAAAATAAAATGGAAAATTTTCTAAGAGTTTCTGGCTAGTTAATGCACTAGTTTAAAAATTAAACTAATTTGATCATTTGCCCCATAATATTCCTATATTTCAAAAGTATATGTAATATTTTTATGAGCACATAAACTTATTACCAACATTACTGGCTAGAAAAACTTTGTGATTTTAATCCTCTCCAAATGATCAAAAGTAGTATATTCTATAGAACTCACCTTTTGCCCATTCATCCCTGGAATTCCAGGTGCTCCAACAGAACCCTGAGGAGACACATGATTGAAATAAATTGATATCATAATCACAAAATATTTCAATTCTAAATTTATATTGTATTAGTTATGTCAGCCATAACTTTACTTTGCTAAAAACATGTCTGGGAGGCTGTTTTTCAGATCTTATCTACCGTGTTCAAATATACAATAATGTAAACAGATTCATCAAGCTTTTCCAAAAACCATTAAGTTAAATTTAACCACGTTTGTAAATATCTACTTAATGCTAATATGATTTTAAAGAAATTCACATCATAAATTGAGATTTAGAGCTATCAGAAGGCCACATAGCTCTAAATTTGGGTGCTTTTAATAAACATGGCATGCACATATATACACTACCAAATGTAAAATAGATAGCTAGTGGGAAGCAGCCACATGGCACAGGGAGATCAGCTCGGTGCTTTGTGTCCACCTAGGGAGGGTGGGAGGGAGATGCAAGAGGGAGGAGATATGGGGATATATGTATATGTATATCTGATTCACTTTGTTATAAAGCAGAAACTAACACACCATTGTAAAGCAATTATACTCCAATAAAGATGTTACAAATAAATAAATATGTAAAAACACACACACACACACAAAAGAATTAAACTTGCCAGGGCTTCCCTGGTGGCGCAGTGGATAAGACTCTGCGCTCCCAATGCAGGGAGACCGGCTTTGATCCCAGGTCAGGGAACTAGATCCCATATGCATGCTGCAACTACGAGTTTGCATGCTGCAACTAAGGAGACTGCCTGCCGCAACCAAGGAGCCCTGGAGCCACAACTAAGGAGCCCACCTGCTGCAGCTAAGACCCAGCGCAACCAAATAAATAAACAAATATTAAAAAAAGAGAACTAAATATGCTTAGTTTCATATGGAAAAAGCCTAGCAGTAACTCCTGAATTTCATGAAATTAAATAACATAAAATGAAAGGTAATTAAAATAACACCCACTTGCTCCACAGTTAGACAAATAAGGGACCCATGTTGTAAACTCAAATTTGTTGTATTTGAAAGCATTTCCCTGAGACTCTCAGGGAGTGTGTTTAAACCACATGAGTGTGAATACATCTTCCAAAGTAGACTAGAAAGGATGTTGCAAATGGTAAACACCAGCTAGGAACAACACAACTTCTACACATAAAATATTATCTTAAGTGTGTGTGTGTGTGTGTATGTGCACGCACACTTGGAAGTGTGCACACATGCACTGGGGTGATTACAATGATTGGACATAGGTGGTTGAACTGAGAATCAGAAAGCTAATTACTACCTGAGAAAATCTGACATTTAACTGGATACAGAAACATTAACAAATGTTTTCAAATAGTGATTTCCCTTCACACACCTTCCTTTGAGGCTCTGTAGAAACCATTTTTAAATAGGATGTGCTTATTTTTTGTTTAGCACTAGAAAACAGATTTTTCTTAGTAGCTGTATAATATTAAATTTCTTTAAGAATAATGGAAAAAAATTAAAATAGTAATTATAAATCTAAAACTGCTCTAAAAAATAAAGTTTATTAAAAATATAGTCATTACATGCAAAACAAATTGAGATAGCAAGTTCCTTAGTGCTTTCTTGGTGATTATATTGAGTGGCTCATTAAAGGACTTCCCGAAGCCTGAGGCAGTAATTTCATCCTGGTCGCATGTGGATTAGGGTAGCTTTACAATTTCACACCATACTTAATAGAGACATTATTGCTAAGGGCAAATTGTTCCTATACACAAGTTGTCTCACAACGCATTGGCTTTTACTTGGTTTGTGGGATTATGTTTCAACAGATGCCACATGCCCAAGCTTGGGGGATAAAACATCTCTAACTTTGATGGATTCCAAAGATAAAGAATAATCACTTTTCCACCTGTTGTAATACAATTATTTTCTTTAGTTTTCTGCAGGTTAAATATTCTTTTTTGTCATCTTTATGGGGTGGGAGGTGTGATGGGGAATGGGGACTTAGTGATATTTTATTGGCAAAGGGCCATCTACCTGCTACTGATGTACTGATGTAATTTTAGAAGTGCTAGACCTTCTCCATCAGAATGTAAAGGGTCAATTCTGACGGCTCTGGATAACGTTGAAATGACAGTCAGGAAGCCAGTTTTTGGGCTACCTCAGCAAAGGAAGACACTAGTGGACCACTTAAATATAGCCACCAAGCAACAAGAATGTCCTTTGTTCTGGTCTAACAGTCATTTAACAATCACATATTTGTGCAAGACCATGCAATTAATTTGCAATGTCTTATGACCCTTCACATTCTAAGTTTTCTCATGATGTTTTACAAGGATTTGAATTAAAACCTCAATAACCTACAAGTTTGGCAAACAGCTTAAAAAGAGTCTGCTCTGGATTTATTGACTTTTCTATAATGGAGTCGATTAGAAATCTAATGGCTAACATTACATGACTGTATTTTTAGAAAGCAGAATGCACAAACCAGACTGCTTTGGCATGACTTACAGTAGCTAATTCCATTCACTTCTCTGACTAGCCATTAGGCGATGGGAGTATAATTACCTTCACAGTATTATTTATACTCTACCTTTTGTCCTGGAGACCCCAGAGGACCCTAGGAAAAGAAAAACAATTCAATAAACATAATATTGCAACCATTTAAACTTAAATGACTGATTAAAACTGTCCTATTCTGTAAGGTTCTATTGATATTTGTCATGCTGAATATGGTGATGTTTTGTACATCAAGGAAAATGAAAATTTTCGGTTGGAAGTGCACAACGGGTCTTTTCTTCTCTCTTGTTCTCTTTTGAAGAACATTAAGCATATGCAGTAGGATTCTGCTTTTTTCCTTTAAAAAAAAGGGTCACAACATTGTAAATCAACTAGATTTCAACTAAAACGAAACAGAAGGAATCTTTGCCATTCCAGCGCATCTGTTTCTTCAGATACCTGCAAATCTATCACATCAGTCTCACATAGAAGGCTGGAGATGTTGCTACTAGAAGCACTTAAAATACAACGCGGTTCTCAGCACACTGACACGTTCTATGACTTCTGCATCTGCAAAACTTCAGGAAGCAGATTTGCAAAGGAAGTCATTGAATGGCATTACAAAGAAGCATGTTTTGCTCTATTCTTCCTCTTATGAAATGTGGCCAACTGACCTGCCCAAAAACTTGTTTACAAACTAGGCGATGCCAAGGTCAGTTGTGGCATGTAGTGTGCACCAGAAAAGGGAACAAAAGATGCTGTCAGCTGTTGCATAAACTGTGACACTGGGGCAGGGGAGGAGAGGAGAAGAAATATAATATTTAGGAAGACGAATGGGAATATTTACATTTAAAATGGAAATGTGGCAGTTCTGAGATTTAGCAATTTTTTGACCACAAAGTCAGTGTTGGAATTCTGTTGGCTTTATTTAGAGCGAGGCATGCTTTGGGATGGTAGAAAAGAGCACAAAGAGAGCTGTAATTCTGACTTTTGATGTCTCTTTTTAAATAAAAATATTAAGCACTTTTCTTCCAATTCTTTCAAAAACACTTTTAATTTCAGTATATTTTAACAAAGTTATAGGTACTCTATCATTCCACGTAAGAAGCTCTTTGTTCCATTACATTAAACTAACGGCTAGCTTATTTTTAATGTGTGACATTTCAGTTAATCAGCATCTTACATTCAGACTATAACATAAAAAAAGGACTAGAGTGGTAATCAGAGGAAGAATTGGTCATGCATAATTTTTTAATTAAAAATACACAACGTTTAGGAACATTCAGAGAATCTGTTCCTCATAAATTATTTTGTAATCCTCACAGGAAGACTAACAATTTCCTCATATAATCAGCTTTAGGTTACTGAAAGTGCACTGTGCAATATCACCTGTATAGATTCCTTTTTTAAAATGTAGGATGTAGTTTTATTGACTCGGTGACACTGAAGGCAAGGACATCGAATGTTAGACATATGAAAAAATTAATACTGGCCTACAAGCCTAGGAAATGCAAGAAAGTGAATTCTTTTCTTTTTCCCTTTTTATTACAAAAAATTTAAAACATAATAAAGGGTAGGGAGAGTAATATAATGTACACCCATGTATCCATCACTTATATGTAACAATTGTTAAGATTTTGCCATATATGTTCCTTTTCAATTTACTCAACCTTCTTAATGAGCTTGTTATCTCATCTATCTGTGTGGTCTGACCTTTTCTCCGCTTATCTCACTCCTTCAATTTAAAATTCTCCCCGTCTTAGATTTTGCAAAGAACAGAGGCTGTCAGGCATAAATTCCCCCAACATCATGTCTCTCATCAACTCAAACCCATGTGGCCCTCCTTACTATATCAGAGGAGGAAGATGCTCTCCTCCCACTGGGCAAATGCATCCAGTAGACTCTGGAATCCATCCTTGCCTTCGCCCTCAGGGCTCCTTCTCAATCAATTATCCCTGCATCTGTATCAGAGCCGCCCACTCTGCACCGGTTCCTTCCCCTTAGCACATAAACATGTGTAATCATTTCCTTACTTGGGTAAATTGTTTGGGAAGTGAATGTTAATGCTAAGTAAAGGCAGAATTTGGAAGCTGTAGTGATAGGAGATCTGAGAGTGAAGAAAAGACTTGGGTTTTATCATTGCCTATGATTCCATTTTTCCTAGTGTCTCCAGAGTATTCCACTTTTTAAAATGTTGATGTTAGAGAGGAAATCATATAACAAAAAGTACATTAATTCAATGTTTAGACTGAGAATGTATATGTTCAATGCAAACAGGTTTGTTTCCCACTATAAACCTAACTGCCACTTGAAAAAATATTGTTCACTAAAATTGCGCATTTCATTACATTGATATATAACCCTGGAAGGGAATATTTCAGATTAAAATAAGAGCAAATTTTAAACCAAATGTTTTAACTAGAGATGAACATATCTGGTATTTTCTAATCTGGTCTTTGCTGCATGATCACAGTAGGTCAGAGATTTAGAAAGATTACTCACAACTCTGAAATCTATGAAATTATATTAGTTGTATATTTTAACACAATAGTTAATAAAAGTCAAAGGATGGCTATAAAAAATAAATATGTTATTTTTCTCACTGTTAGAAAACTACGGCCATTTTTGCTAAGCTCCAAAAATAAAAGCAGTTTTAAAGACAATATTAATTTTGAATTGTGAATACATATCTTATAAATTTTCATAACTATGTTGCCAAGGATATATCCTCAGCTACCAAAAATGTGCATATACTCCTTTGATCTCGCTGGCAGGAAAAGTGGTAACAAGCCAAAGATAGTGTCATTGTTTTAGAGAGGAACTGGGAAAAAGCAATGTTGAATATAAGGCACAGACATACATTCGAGTAAGTACACACACACACAAATAGCTATTTTGATCAATATTTTGCTCATGTATATATTTTTTGAGCATTCTCTGATTAATAATCCCATTATATATCTGTGACATTGTGGTCATAAATTTAAGCTTACAAATGAAAGCTTCACTGATCAAAAACTGATTTTGAAGTTAGGGTATGCTACTACCAGTTGGTTAAGGTGTCTACATTTGAGTACTTTTGTAGTTTCTAGTACAAATACAAATTTATAAAGGAATGGGTAAATGTCATAGAACCACTGACTGACTTATCTAATCTTTCTTAAACTTACTTATATTCTCAGCCTGAATAATGACTTGGATGAAGAATGTCATATATTCATTATTCACTTGTCGAGCTAGTGTATCTTATTATTCCTAAAATTAAAACTAGTTGTTCTAGTATTCTAAGATTTCTAAAATAATTCCATTATTGTTATCCCCATGTCTTAAAAAGTTTGAATCAAATAGTCTTCCAAACCAAAGAGTCAATCTTTTTAGTCCATTTTTATCAATCAATGAATTGCTCCTTTCTTAGGTATTTTCTTGGCGGGCACTTTTATATTTGCATATACTTTGCAGACGACCAATTAAGATGAGAATAATCTGGTCTCTTTTATTTTCTGTAATCATTTCTTTGTATATGTCTCAAGATTGGAAACTGTGTAATATACAGAATCTTAACATGTTAAACTATATTTCTTTAAGTTTAACTCCAGAAGCGTTAAACTATAATTTAAACCTTAAAATGTACTCACTTCAGTATAGGCTCTGGGTGATGTAGAATGTATTAACTTTTTTCATTAAAGGATTTTGCACAATGGACATAACCTTATTCAAAAGATAAGAACCAAATGAGCCACCGAAAAGTTCTAAGTGTGGAGTAACGACATCACTTATCTGCAGATAAATGTTTACACCTAATTTTCATGGTCTTTCAGAAAAGACTATGGAGAGCTATGAAAACTTAAAAGTTCTAAACAGGTAGGAAATTACACAGTGCACTGATTTTCTTTCCTGTTTTCCCCACTCCCACTAGATTCCATTTTTAAAGATTATGGAAAATATTATGTAGAATATGGCAGTCAAGTAAGTTAAAGAAATACTATAGTTCCCATTTGGTGATTGCCTTTACTAAAAGCGCGTTACTCGGGCCTGAGAGTGATCGTTTATTCCTCCGCCTCCGGGTGCACCAGGTACTATACTTACTCAGGAACATTCTCCAGTCTGTCCTCTTCTTCAGCTGCATTACCATGCTCTTGTTCAACCCGCTTCTCTCTCACCTAAGCTACTGTGACACGCATCTAAAAGCCACTGTGTTTTCAGTCTTCTTCAACCCTTTCTACACAGTGCTGCCCGAGGGAGCTTTCTAAAAGGCTTACTGGTTTCTACCTTGCCTCAGCTGAAAAATCCTTCCATGGCTTTCCATGGATTTTGAGAGAAAAGTTCAAGCTTTTGTAACAGTTGTAGTTTGCCACATAAGCCATGCTTCCTCATCTCTACACCTCTGCACCTCTGGTTGTCTGTTCCTTTAATGGGCTTCTTCTCTCTGGTCCTGTCTCTTCCACTCATTCCATATTTCAGGGCTCAGTGCCTCCACCCTTAGGGCTAGGTCGCCTTCTTTTGTTTTCCAAAGCACCCCTATGACAGCACTTCTTTCCCAGAATTTACCAACAATGTTGTGATTGTCAGGTTACTTCTTTCTTCACTCTACATGTCTTTTATCATACACAGAAGCTGCACGGGCTTCTCATTGCGGTGGCTTCTCTTGTTGCGGAGCACCGGCTCTAGGCGTGCGGGCTTCAGTAGTTATGGCACATGGGCTTCAGTAGTTGTGGCACGCGGGCTTGGTTGCTCCACGGCATGTGGGATCTTCCAGACCAGGGATCAAACCTGTGTCCCCTGCATTGGCAGGTGGATTCTTAACCACTGCACCACCAGGGAAGTCCCTGGCCTATTCTTACAGCCTCTAGATTACCTCTAAGTGCAAGAGTGAGTGGAGGAATTCAATTCATGGCTTCTATATTAAAACGGCAAAGCAAAAATCATCTTGATTACATGGTCTCATTGACACGGAGAGTGTCACGGATGTGGATGCAGGTCTAAGGTCTCTAATGCATATCAAAAGCCATCATGCAAACAGTAAGTAGAATTATCAACCCATGTTAATCTTCAAAGCAGGCAGTTAAGAAATGGATGTTTCTATAACCATTATGCATTGGCTGCACTTTCCAGCTTGTAAAA